GTTATTGGTGTTAAGTGCCATTGAGTTGATTCTGATTCATAGCAACTCTGTAAAGGGTTTCTGAGGCTTTGAAAAAAAAATCTTTGTGTTAGTAGAAGGCTTCATCTTTCTCTCACAGAATGCCTGTTGGATTTGAACCACCAACTTGGTGATTTGCAGTTCACTGCTTATTGTATGGAGCCACCATGCTCCCCTATATACACATTACATTTGTCAGTTTATACGTTTCATAAATATTTTTCTATAATTAGTATATTTATATTTTTAAAATAAGAAAATAATGATCATTTTATTCAGCAATCAAATGGATTAATAAGGAGTATTAGACTGAAGTATTATCCTAAATGTCCTAAAAGATACTGTCCTAAAAAGCAATGTCCGAAAAGATACTGAACTTAGTAAAATATTACTTTAACTTTTTTAAATACTCGTTTATAGTGCTAAGCACTGTAGGATAAGCACTCCACAATAATATGGGTTTGAACAGCCAGGTTGGCTGGACAGGGCCACTGTGAATCAGAGCCAACTAGACAGCATTTAACAGCAACAACCATATGCTGCTGCGTTATTGTTTGTTAACCTTTTGAACATATGTGAAGTAAAATATATGGAAAAAAATCATACTATTTTTTTTTTTAATAACTAATTTTAGGTATTGAAGAAAATATTCAAGAAGTTGTTGGGCATATCACTGAGGGTGTGTGCAGGCCTCTGAAGGTAATATAGTTTGTTTTTAAAAGTGTTGTTGAGTTGACTCGATAGCATCTAACAACGACATGATATCTGCTTAGGTTAGAATTCCCACTTTTCCACTTAATGTACTGACTTATTCAAATTGCTTAATTCTTCTGCACCTTAATTTGTTCATGTTTAACCTGTATATGGAGTCTTGGGATGGTGTTGTGGGTTAATGTGCTAGACTGCAAGGTCAGTTTGAACTGCAAGGTCAGCGGTTCCAGCTCACCACTGCTTCTTGGAAACCCTGTACAGGGTCGCTATGTGTCGGAAGTGACTTGACAGCGCTTAACAACAAAAAATAACAATCTGCATACAAAAATATTTGCTGTTCAATGTTGCTGTAAGGATTAAGTAAGACAATATAGGTGAAAGTACATAATTACTGGTACCTAGTTGGCCTTATCTACTGATGAAGATCAAAGCACAGCCTTTGTTGTGGATTACATCTCACTGTAAAGAAAACAAAAATCCTCACCACTGGACCAATAAACAACATTCTTATCAATGGAGAAAAGATTGAAGTTGTCAAGGACTTCATTCTTCTTGGATTAACTATCAACACTCATGGAAGCAGCAGTGAAGAAATCAAATAACGTGCTGCATTAGGCAAATCTGCTGCACAAGACCTTTTTAAAGTGTTGAAGAACAAAGATGTCAGCTTGAGGACTAAGGTGCGCCTAACCCAAGCCATGGTATTTTCAGTAACCTCATATGCAGGCAAAAGCTGGACAGTGAATAAGGAAGACCATAGAAGAATTGACGCATTTGAGTTATGGTGTTGGAGAATATTGAAAGTGCCATGGGCTGCCAAAAGAACCAATAGATCTGTTTTGGAAGAAGTGCAGCCAGAGTGCTCCTTGGAGGCCAAGATGGCCAAACTTCATCTCTCATGCTTCGGACATATTGTCAGGAGGGACCAGTCGCTGGAGAAGGATCTCATGTTTGGTAAGGTGGAGGGTCAGAGAAAAAGAGGAAGACCCCCAATGAGAAGGATTGGTCAAGTAGCAGCATATAACAACAACAACAAAGAGAAAGTTGCAATAGTAGTGGGAGTTGTCCTTGACATAATATATATTTGTTTTACTCTGTCTTATATTTAACGTTTTCTGAGTCTTACTAAAGTGAATTATAGTAGACTAAATATTTGAAAATATGAACCTTAAAATTATTTCCAAATTTAAATGTCTACTTCTAAGCTTAAAATGATGTAAACATAAAATTATGTTTATGCAAAGAATATTATGAATTGTCAGCATCTGTTACTCTACAAGTATTTTCACCCCAGGATTATAGCTGGAAACATTAGAATTAATATGCTAAATCTTTGCTTTTCAAATTCATTGGATAAAATGACCCTGCTTTTTTGTGAATGTTATTTGATTGCTGAATGATTTCTTGCCAGTGTTTGAATTTTAGCTCTTTCAATGAAAACTTCAGTGTTTTACATATCTGGTCATCTTCTAAAATTATGGTGGGTTCTATGAAAATATGTGTTGTTGTTGTTAAGTGCCGTCAAGTCGGTTCCAACTCAGCAGCCCCCCGTATAGGGTTTCTGAGGAATGGCTGGTGAGTTTGTAATGCTAGTCTTGCCCTTCAAACTGACCTTCTGGTCCACTGCTTATCCTACAGTGCTTTCCAGTACTATATAAGAAAGAGAAATGGTCTCGAAAATAGAACTGGATGCTGTATTGCATGATACAGTCATCGTGCTCTAAGGTGTTGGTCTATTGTTATTGTTAAGTGCGATCAAGTCGGTTCTGACCCATAGTGACCCTGTATAGGGTTTCCATGGAGCAGCTGGTAAGCTTGAACCTCTATCCTTGCAGTTCATACCAACTTTGCAGTCCAGTGCATTCACCCACAGTGCCACACCAGGATTCCTGTTGATCTACGTTGTTGTTTTTAAGTGCCGTCGAGTTGGTTCCGACCTTTAGAGACCCTGTGTAGGGTTTCCAAGGAACAGTTGGTAAACTTGATCAGCGGACCTTGCAGTCCAGTGCATTAACCCTCAGTGCCACACCAGGACTCCTGATGATCTATATATACTAGGATACAAATGTTCACACTGAGTATATTATGGGGATGAGGCCGTGTCATGTTCTCATCCAGTTCTCCCTTCCCCCTTTGTCCCCTCCCTAATAAACACAAGCTGTCTCTTTAACTGTGGCTCTAGCTGTCACTCTGGGACAGGAGAGGAGGGCCACTGTTCTGTCTGTCATGTTTCATTTCTTGCCTGCCTTGTGCTCATGTGGCTTTCCTTCAAAGCCTCTCTAGGTATGAGGAGGTGAGAGCTTCTTACCCCGTCCTCTTTCTTCCTTCCCACCCTTCTTTTTTCCCCTTCTCTCTTTTCCCTTCCTTTCTTTTTCTCTTTAACGGACATAGAATGAAGAATATTTTCTTCTGCCTTAAAATTCTAGAAGGCAAGTTTTCAGATAGCTGAATGGTGTTAATAAATCTGCTAAAGAAGAACTGTCAGAATACACTTAACACTCTCTATATTTTGCCCTAATGATTATATTAAAATTCAGACCGTATCACTGTTAATGATATAAAACAAACACGGTCATAGAGTCAGTTCTACCACATGGTGACCCTGTGGGACAGAGTAGGACTGCTCCATAGGGTCTCTGAGGCTATAAGTCTGTAGAGAAGCAGACTGCCTCAGCTTTGTCCTGTGGTGTGGCTGGTGGGTTCAAACCACCAATTATTCAGATAGCAGCCCATTGCTTACCCCACTGCACCACCAGCTCTCCTTATTGATATGAGACTGCTGTTGATCATGCCCTTAAGTCA